TCATAGCAGTGTGTAGAAGGTATGTGATGTATATTTGATAAGTATTACTACTGCTATCATAGCAGTGTGTAGAAGGCATGTGATGTATATTTGATAGGTATTACTACTGTTATCATAGCAGTGTGTAGAAGGTATTATTATAGGTAAAATACAAAATGATATTACTGTTTTGTTCTTTATTGTCAAAAATGTCAAAATAATATTGGTCCAGTAAAATTTAGTCCGGTCCAGTGAATTTTGCTGGCTTGGTGGACCGAAGGTCCAGTGTTTAGAAATTTCATTCGTGAAGACTGTGAGTAATTACATTTTAATATAAATCTATGTACATCGGTCGAGATCCTGTCACCTACTGGCAGTACTGCTATCTGGTGACAAGTCAAAGAAATTGTACTTAGCTTGGCAAAGACAGAGAGACCAATACACCGGTCATGGAAACTGTAACCAACAGGTTAGTTGATTTACTAACTACATTGAGTTGATAACAGTTTTAAGCCAGATTTATACCTCGAGCTTAACACGAGTAATTTCAAAGAATATTACGAGTAACATATTCAGAAAACCTATGCAAACATCTGAAACTGACATTAAGCATAACTCTAATTAATCTCTAACCAATTTTCCTCATCTCTAGCAGCAAATACGTTCGCTCTAAACGTATTCTGATGTGTTCGTTCAGTATAAAGATCGAGCGCGCATTATAGCATGACTCATGACCCTGTAGGGGTTTGATTTACCTTGACTGCCACCTGCTTGCCATCGTGCGTCTCAGCGCAGTGCACCTGCGCAAGACTAGCTGCCGCGACTGGCTCTTTTGAAAACTTCTTGAACATCTCGTCCGGAGTTTTCCCAAAGTCTTCCAGAAAGAGTTGCTCAACCTGGAACCGACAGCTGAATTGATGGTAAACGATCTCGGTATACCTCGTTTTGCGTACTGTCAAACCCGCGTACTCACCAACGCCACTGTATAATGAGGAACGCCTGTCCTTAAAAGACACTTTCCGCACTCTGCTTTAATGGCTGCCACACACGAAACAACCTCAACCAAAATAATTCAGTCTATAAAAGACTTTTTTAGGGTTCCCTTGAGTGACCCTTATATACCGTTTGGAGAGTTGGACTGTAACGGAGACGTTCTCACACTGAATAGACACGTGCCGACGATCGACACACTACTGTATACGCCATATTTTTCGCGCACAGATATTTTCGCGAATTCAGACTTGACGGACAAAATCGCGAGTGGTTAATTTCGCGGTCGGTGAAGAACGGCGTGTTGTTACTTTCGCGTGTTGTTATTTTCGCGTTCGGGGTCGAAATTAAGTTTCGAAATTCGCAAAAAATAAACCACCGCGAAATATACAGCGTATACAGTACCTCGTCAGCCTGTCGGGTCAGCGCCTTGTCTTGCAGCACCGCCAATGTGTCAACGTACTCCTTTGGAAGGATGTGGTTCATAGAGACGAGACCCTGACCCAGCTTGATGTACAGCCCTCCATTCATCAGGCATCCAGCAAGAATGTTTTCTGCAGCACGCCTGTGGCATTCTGCAATGGCTTTGGCATAAGCCGCACCGTCCTAAGTAGACAGAAAAGCTAGGTTGGTGCTTTCGCGCTACACTTAAAATAAATAAAAGCAACTACTCTTATTCCACTGCTCCCATGGAAGGTATGCGGCATTAATAATGACCAAAAGTGTATTGGGAGCATAGAAAGAATTATTATCAAGAATAGGGATGCAAAAACACTGTGTGATTGTACGTAGAAATAGATACGGAATCGTCTTGCCTGCTCTAAGCTGGCTGTCTAAAAGCTATTAACCCAAACTTCATGGCAATATGAAACTATACTGTCAATAAAAATGCCACTTTTTACTGATATGTGTTAACAAGAGCCGCAGAGCGTCTGGGCTCATCTGAGGTCTGTTGCTACGGTTATAAACGTAACATTTAAGTTGTGCGTAGTGACACCTTTGTTAGGCGCAGATATGCAGATACGCAGTGCAGTACACATCATTTCAGCAACCTTCTGCATTCTGCATAACTCCCAAATCCCATTGGTTGATACAAATCGCTGTGCCCGAAACTAATGTTTTATGGTTGCATTGTGACCCTAACCCTATAAAACAAAAACAAAACAAGGTAAGGCCAGTGATTAGTGGACCGATAAGCTCAAGAATCGTACACATTTGCGTCTATTATTTTGGTGCCCAAAATTTGATGAGAAAATTAATGTTGGAAATCCACAGCCTCACTCCTGGGTAATTATGTTGAGTGCTAAGTGACTATTCCAACTATTTATAATGTACACTACAGAATCTCATATATAACTCATCCATTATCTCCTAAGTAAGCTTTGTTCCAAGTAAGAGTTATGTGTGGAATATTCACTGTAAAATGGGAGCGTTCCACAACCACAGGTACTCGCCAACGCGAGTTCGAGAAACAAATCAATGTTTAACCTGCCTACAGGGCCCTGCAATTAGAGAGCTGCCACCTGTTACCTAATTAACACAGGCAAAAACTACACCATACTACATCACCACCACATGCGACTGGCAGTGGCCACTGGCAGTGGCATATTAACACACTGACAGTACAGAATGCCATAGAAATTATACGATTTAAGGAGCATAAACCTTCTTCAAGCAATACTAGCTTTTGAAATTTCACTGTGACATTGTAGCCTCATACATCCAGGGCATGTATGTCTAGATTCTACTATAGACACACCCAGCCCAGTCAAATTCTTTCTAACACAGTAACAGTTAACACAATCGCATGTTTAAATCGCCTCCCTTCTGAGCGGGCTCAAAGGGTTATCAGACACTTATCTCTTCAGCACCGTCAGTGGAAAGCACATTCATGCGTTTTTTAATAAAGCGCATAAAAATGGTAGGTTCACCGGCTGAAACAAAAAAGTTTTCCAATTGCTGCCAGTCATGAGCATGTCCTCCAGAAAATGTCTAAAATCTTGCCCTGTGCCCATTGACCTTTGGAACACCGTGACGCTCCAATTTCGGCACAGTGATGGCTTTTCCTCACGCATGATGCTATTATACCCGACTATCACAAGCCATAGGTCGAGCCATGTTAGATTTGTGCCGGCAATTCTGGCATTTCCTCGCCTATACCTTTAAGATTAAGGAGTGAATGTTCCCCTTATTGTTTACACCTTCTTGAGCCTTTGACCTTTGACCCCCATCTTCGACATCCCAACTTTCGTTTTCGGGATTTACCCCCAGCCCTAATATCGTTGGACCGTATGTGCTGACTCGCGGTTTAAGATTTGTGCCCAACTGTGACGGACGGCGACGGACGGACGCGCGACGGAAGCACGGCGATCGCGACGCACGACGACGCATCATGCGCTATTCTACAATGCCTGTATCTGGACTATGTCAGAGTGAGCCTAAAATACAGGATTATGTACGATATTTATCTTGTGTGTATCGTTACAAATATAAACAGAAAACAATATTAATATTAGATATTGGTTACAATGGGTTCCATAAAATATCTGCGATTCTTATGCAGGCTGCGGTTTAGAACCAGATTTAATTTATTTTAACTGGCATTACTATACTGTCAATATAAATATACTATACTTTAACTATACTGTCAATAAAAATGCCACTTTTTAGCTGATATGTGTTTAAAAATACAGGATTATGTACGAATATTTATCTTGTGTGTATCGTTACAATATAACAGAAAATATTAATATAAGATTTGGTTACAAACGGGTTCTATAAAATATTGCGATCTTATGCAGGTGGGTAGAACAGATTTTAATTATTAACTGGCATTCCTTTAAGACAAATGACATACTTACCTCCTCAAGACCATAGAGTGACCACCAGTAGTCCAATGATAAAGTCATTCCAATTCTAAATGACCTGTAAATCATCATATCGCCTTTGCAAAACAAGTGGTATGGTAATCAGCTTGAGAGAGAGTAAAAGAGAAAGAGAACTAGAGAGAGAATGAGAAGAGCGAGTGTTAATTTTCATCACTTTAAGCCCACTATTTCTTTTACAAAATTCCAACAAATACCTACTATTCAGATTGTACCTTCTCTTATCGGCAGTGCTGCTGGATTGTTATTTTCTACATAAAAATGACGGGGAGCTTATTTCATCATTAGGTGAGAGACCATGCCAAGTTGTGAGTGCCAATGGAGACGATCTGCTTCTCAATATCGTGTCTTACCTCCAAAACCTCCACATTCCCTGTGCAGTCACTCTCAGCCGGCGCTTATGTTTCGTGTCCATGCTCGCATAGTAGACCACCCCTAGACAGGGAATACTGATGAAGACATACAAGCCTTTTCTCTTCTGCACATGGCGTTTTACTGTCAGTTGTTGGGATAGCAGTCTCTTAGGAGTTGCCCAGAGCGGTGCTTTCATTATGACTTGTGACCTAGCAAGCCAGTGGTGTAGGCTTGGCACCAACATCATTTATAATAGCTAAAAATAAAAATGTGCGACAGAATTATATGGATGATACCTGCAGGTAATTTTTGGTTGTGATGTTTTAACATGCTGGTTAACATATCATTAAAAATCACATGGAACACAGCTGAAGCACATAATCAAGTATTTAGCTTACATACATGCATTACACCATACCTAGTCGAGTAATCAACCAAATATACACTTCCGAACTGTTAATAGTGTTATAAATTAGTGGTTCGTAATACCAAAAAGGAAACTCGTAAATTAGTAGTAGATTGATAGTTCCGAGGTTGTTTTGGCTCAATTTAATTGGGTACCTCATCTTACACACTTTGTTGAAGCAAAGCTTATAACCCTTCACGAGATCTATCCTGGTCAGGTGAAGATTGATATTCGATCCTGTTTAATGAAGCCTATTCGTAGCACTTAATCATCCAAGCCTGCATGATTACTGCTTTAAAAGAATATTTGGGAGATTCTTGCTCAGAAACACTCAATCCAAATAAAATATAGCGAAACATAGTCTCACCTCACAGCGGATATATCACTGATTACACTAACTTGAAAAACACTAACAGGGGTCGAAATGAACTTTTGAACAATGGTGTCCAACGGACTCCCTGCCCTCAAAAAGAGGGAGTCCGCAGCAAAATGAGGGAGTCCGTAGCCTGAATTTCAAAAAGTTAGCCGAAAAGTTATCATAATTCCGCAAGGCCATGCTCTGGAACGAACTAGTTACTAGATAGTATAGCAGAATTTTCAGGGAGTCACACGGACTCCTGCATATATGTCAAATCAGGGAGTCCGACAATAAATCAGGGAGTATTTGACTCCGGACTCGTGTTAATTTCGCACCCTGCACTAAGACTTTATGCAGTTATAGCATATAAAATTGGATATGAACACATCGTAACACAACGAAAATAACATCGAGTCACAAGATTTGTTAAATATGTCAACTTGTAATTTGTCGGTGCAAACGAGTGTAAGTTTTGTAACTTCAATATATTGTCTATAAGTATAACAGTCCTTTGTTATGACAGTGACTGGATCACGGTTTATTGACTTCAACTAGGGGTGCACCGGATCAAACTTTTCAAGTTCCGGCCGGAACCAGATGAGACGGGATACTAGAGAAGCGTTGCCGAAAGAAGGTGCTTGACCGAAGTGCTGAGCGCAGATCTTGGCGCGCAATTCCGCGGAAGCGCACGCGACCGCGGGAACGTCCTACGAACAGTATGCAGCGCTGGCAGCTATGGATCCGTGCGCCGAATGCTTGAGAACCGGCGCACGCATCTATAGCTGCCAGCGAACCGTCCACAATTTTAGTGGGGGAACACAGAGGCAGACATTTGGGACGTGAACAGTGTTCACTTGTTATAAAACATAATGTCTCTGTTCGTAACCTAGCTGTGTCACGCAAAATCACAGAAGACTGACGAAATTTTTCGCGTTCGCGAACCTTGCCCAGTAAGGCAAATGGCTGCAAGGACAAAGGCTATATAGACTGGGACTCACTCCCACCTCGATTACACATCGAGTGACTAAGCTAAGCCGAGAGTGGAAGCGAGTGCCAGTCTATGGGCTATAGGCGGCACGCAGGGCGCGCACTGCCTTTCCAACTCCCGTACGAGCCTCGCCATTGGAACGTTGCAAAAACGTTGCAGTGTTGCGGCTGACAGCCATTTCCATTACTGGGCAAGGTTCGCGAACAGCTGAGAATTTCGTCAGTCTTTTGTGTGATTTTCGCATGACACAGCTCGTTACGAACAGAGACATTATGTTTTTATAACAAGTGAATACTGTTGGTTCAAGGAGAAACAAAGATGGAAGCTGTCTTGAATGTGTATTCGTGCTGTGAAAGTTTCAAATAAAGTGGCGTCGAGCGAATTTTGGCAGCACGCATTCCTACCTGCTATATATATTAGTGTAAGCTGCAACAGTCGCGCCGCTGAGAGCAATGGCAGCCGGCAGCGTACGTTGGACGAGGATTTCGACGGAATTTACAGGAAAACTCGGCGAATAATAGGTCAAAGAGAGTAGGCCTATGCTATAGAAACATGAAGAAGTTGGTAGTAAATAGATTTTCGTATTTAGTTAGCATTATATTTTATTATATATTTAGTGGAGTACTAGTAACACTAACAGGAGTCGTCATTATTAATATTAGTAACTTACTAGTACCGGTAACACAGTTTGTCATTATTAGCTCCTGGTACTGGTAGTAACTAGTACTAGTACTAGTATACTGTAGTAGTCCTGGTACTTAGTAGTACTAGTAGTACTACTAGTAATTATTGTAACATGTACTTGTAGTAATAGAATATTCGTAGGTGTGCGATACAATTCGATGCTCGCATTGGGGATCGTGTTAGATATCATATATATATAGGTGCCTGTAGAATCACGAGTACGAGGCACATTGGTTTTCATTGGACTCATGTTCTCTATCCTTGGGCCGTCCGAGTCGGAGCACTCCGGAATTTCACGTGAATTCTTACGGAACACTTACAGTTCAAGCTTCCCACTGTTCACAGTTTAGGCACTTCTGCCCGCCATGTTGAAATCTTTAGTTTTGATGAGGAGTGTAACTATGCAGAGATACAATAGCAGATAGAGTGACAATGAAACTAACTGTAAACTGATTTATTACGAAGAGCGAAGACATGTTCTATTGTTCCTATATATCGTATCCTCTAAGCTCAGCCAGTCAACGCTACGCATCAGCGCTATATATTGTTACAATGTGAACAGAAAACTCCGTTATTACAGCAAAGAAAGCGCGCCTAGTAGCGAACAAAGAATTGGGAGCTTTTCTAGCCAGTCTCTACCTAACTGGGTAGTGCGATCCCTCGTGCAATGGGCAGAACTGCAGATTAGAGCGAAAAGCCGCTTTAACCTAACCCTAGGAAAGGACCGGCGTACTGGCGTTGGGAAGAGGGCAGCGAAATTGCAAAAGTGCGCCGCGAGGGGGCGTTTGAGCGCTTCGCGCGGATATCCGGCTGCAGATCGTCCAGAACCAGCCGGAACTTGAAAAAAGTTCCGGCCGGAACTACCTGGCCGGAACCAGAACTTAAGCTGGGAATAAACTTGACAGTTTTGGCCCGGTATTGCGCAAACTCACTCGGCCTGAACGAAATATTATTAGCACTCACTCAGGCGAGTAGGACAATGCTCAAAATTCTAATTACAGGATGGTTGTTAGGTGTATGAATCAGCTGCTTACAGTGCATAATTCTGGCATCTTATTCGCGAGTGAATTCTGTGGCAAAACCTGCATGTTGCAGTATCGCTGGTTTTAGTCGATTATTTTTAACTAACAGACAGATGCCATTCCTGTGGCTCTAAGAGTATTTGATTTTAAAAGAAAATCTTGTAAATCACCTAACATCAGTTAGGTTCAGTTCAGTTAGTCAGCCGATGTTCAAGTGGCAAGCGTTTTTTGGGTGGAATAGTGTGAAGTTGTTAACACTATATTGTCAGCAAGTTGACTCTATTGACTCTCAACTACATTCAGTGACTGATCTTTTGATCTTGATGACGCTTGTAGCAGAAATAAAATTAGCAAAAAGTTCCGGTTCCAACCGACTGTTCCTGAAGGGTTCCGGCCGGAACCGGAACTCTGAAAAATTGGGGATCCGGCCGGATCCAAGTTCCGGTGCACCCCTAACTTCAACACAAACGACCCGAGAGAGCGAGCGACCCCTATCAGGATGCATACACAACTGTGGTCACATAACCATGTATACACAAACGTCACAAAGCACGCCGGACAATCTACAACGAGATTGTGTGAGAGGCGTGCAAGTCTATGGAATATAGCTGGCACTACTAAATGGTCCAAGATTACACGAAAAGGTGGTGGTAATCGAACGAGTTCGAAACCTGCACGTTTTGGTGAATACGAAGGTTCTAATATAGTTTATCGTTACTCTAGTCTAGACAGTTGCTGTTACTCAAGCAATAACGGTAGGTTACCAGGATTCTCCAAGCTTTTTCATTATAGCATGGGGGTGCTGCCTTTACGGTCCTAGTTGCAAATCGCCGAAGGCGGTTTGCGTGCAAGAAGGGTCCGGGCATGCCCCCCGGAAAATGTTTAAAATTGTAGAAGCTCTGAAATGCAATCTGGGACACTCTGTGTGTAAATTTGAAGCACTGCATGTGGGGTGAAAATGTTTGTTTTGCATGTGCAATGTATGTTTAAATTGTGTAAACACCAGCATGGCAGCTATGATATTTAGAGTGGCGGGTGCATTTCAGGATGGCAGGGCTCTCAGATAGCCTGGCGGGGGTATAGTATAAGTGCTCTTGGAGAAGCCTGGTATCATAAAAGTGGGAAAACACTATATATAATTCTCGAAATTATGGCTTTAAACATGCGTTGTGTTAATAAAAGGATCCCTTCAACTTGAAGTTCAAATATGGCTTTTTCGTTTATGTCATTTCATTTTGGAAGGCTCTAAAAGTTAATTATCCACTGGTTAATTCCCTATCCTATGCACTGAAGTTTTCGGCCATCATCATATGCCGCCGGATGCAATTTTAGGAGACGTGATGCATGCTCACTGATGTGATGTATGTTATTGCCACAAGAAACTATCGCTAAAATCTCTCTCCAATATGTGCATGATAGTGTGAAGTTATTATATTTACAATTAGTATTATTAATAATATTAATAATAATTAATATTGCGTGAAAATATTAAATTACGACGTGGATATTCGTCCGAGCATCGGACACCTGTTCGTATGCGCTATTTGTCCGAGCAGTTGTTGCGCATGCGCTGTTGATGTTGTTGTTGATAGTAGTTGTTGTGCCGCAGGCGCACGGCCTCTAGTGCCGGAGATAGGAAGTGTGAAGGGGGGTCTGGGGGGTTTCCCCCCAGCCAATTTTAAAATCTAGACGCTCTAAATTTTATTATATTATATTATATTAGGCTTATATTTTGCCCTTTAGGCTTTTTGCCTTGCGTTTTGCTACGCAGCCCTACGGCTGTGACGCCCCTGCATACATGCGTTGCGTATGTGGTTATACACCATAGATAGTGTTTGGTACTATCATTCGCCTATATAAGCAAACCGAGTCGGTTAATAAATAGTGGTAGGTTTAGATTGTGGTTAGTATTAGAATTTAGAGTTAGGTTAGAGTTAGGTTGGAGAGTAGGCGACTCCCTAGACTAGCATTATATTACATCAAGATTACATTTATGTAATACAACATGAACAGCGCATGCGCAGCAACTGCTCGGACGAATAGCGCATACGAACAGGTGTCCGATGCTCAGACGAATATCGGGAAATGCTATCCCCCGGGCGTGGAGGGAGGTGACCGCAACGTGGCAGCACTAGTGTTAGGGTTAGGGTTAAATTTTAATTTTTAATTTTTAATTTTAAAGGCTAGGGATAGGGTTAGGGTCAGGGTTAGAATATTTGCATCATGATATCTGTCCCCACACCATAGATTAATTTTTGTGGATCACAATGCCTATATATAGCGCGGCGAGATATATATGTTTAGTGGTAGGGTTAGTGTTGGAGGTGTTGTAGCTAGAGTTACCGTTAGGGTTAACGCTTTGAACGTCATCGTCAACGTTATCACGTGACCTCCCTCCACGCCCGGGGGATAGCAACACCCACGAATATCCACGTCCATTAAATTAACACATTTTGACCAGTGCCAGTGCAGACCCATTTAACTAATACTACCTCATGCCGGTGGGCCGTTATGTGTGGACTCTTCTTTTTCAATTATCTATAATAGACCTCTTTGTATTTTTAATGGTAGAAATCTGTTTATAATACAGTTACATTGCCATTGGTCTTACCCTGAGAACATAATTATATGGCTGTTGCTCCTGCAACGGTACCGTCGCCGATTTTTTTTCTCTTAAAGTCACGGTACTGACGGTACTGACGCCTGATTGGTTGAGCTTGTTTTCTCGCGATATACATAGCACATCCAAAATTT